TAACACACACAAAATACACACAAACACACATATATATATATATATATATATATATATATATATATATGTATTAATTAACAAAATAATAATAATAAGCTATAAAGTATAATGTAGAATAGTTATAACCTAATATCGCTAATAGAAACGTTATTAGTAATATAAATATTAATGTGATGATAGATAACATAAATAAAGTAAAATATTATTAAACAAATAAATTTGCAACTAAGAGTGACTTCCGTTAACCACTATAAATCATAAATAATATTTATTATTGTTTCGATAGTTCAAAAATATCACGTGAGAGTTAGATATAGTAAATAACAATTTTTTAGGTTCTATGTATGTAATTAACAATTTATTATTTTGTTTTGCATTTCTCAATTATAAATAGATGAGAATATGAGCATGAAATTAATGAAAAATTTATGAATTCTCTTTTACTTTCATAATTTTTTCTTCTTTTTGGGCAACAAGAGACACGAGATTAGTTTGAAGTTTTGTTGATTAGTCGTGATGCACACACAAACAAGGCAAGCAGACGAGTTGTATCTGCATAGTTAAAGAGGGAGTCGTAAATTGGTACACTCAGGGTTTGATCTACTCTAAGGATAGTGTCATCGACACGCCTCCCTCTCAAGCTAATTTAATCTCATTTTTTTTTTCTTTGCTTAATTGTGTTGGATTTGTTTCTTAATTTCTTATTGCCAATTTACACTTAATATCAATAATTTTTTCATCAAGTAAAAATGTCTACACAAATATAACTTCAATATGATAATGTTAAGCTGAAAAATTTTATAGGAACACATTTTAAAAGACGGCAAAATAAAAAGTATATATTGGTTAAGATGTTTAGGTTTTGCTGATCAAACAAGATGGTTAGGTTTTGCTTATCAATTGTTCATGTTGATGAGAGATTTATAAGTAAACTTGATTCAAAATCTATCGAGTGAACTTTCATTGGATATGACTTAGATGAATTTGGTTATAAAATTTGGGAATATTAGAAGCATAAATTCATCAAGT